TTGTGAATGCGATTCTGCGATACCTCTTTCTCCCCTGTGCACTTAACTCCGGCGCAGCGGTGTTCCCGAGACTTTCTATGTGCCTAAAAGCTAGACTTTGTGATCCTGAGCATCATGACGCCCCAGTTCCCTTGTGAATCCAGCTCCGGGTCTTTCCCACCCTGCTAAGAACGGTGATTTTTGTTTGTTTGTTTTGTTTTTTGTTAACCGCAGGGTAACTAAGGTGCAGGAGCTATTCTAAAGTAAAAACACAGCAGAGGACAAGGCACTTTGGTTTTACTCGGGAGGAAAAGGCCGGAGAAAACGTGTCTGAAATAAGATCAGAGGGCAATGTGCTGACACGTTTGTGCCAAAGTAGAGACATGCAAATGTTGTGTTGAAAACCTGTGCAATATGTGTGACGGGGCGGGGTGTGGTGGGGGGAAGTCGGTATAAGGAACAATGGTAGATTTGCTTTCAAATGTATTCATGAGTAAGGCTAAGATTTTGTCACGGGTATTTTTAGTAAAAATCACGGGAAGGTCACAGATAAATCACAGAAGTCTGCTCCCCGCAGTGCGGGGCTGACAGCTGGAGGCCAAGTCCCGCCACCCGGGGCTGAAGTTACAGTCACCTAAAATCACCGTGACCAACTCGTAGCCTTATTCGTGAATATTTCAAATATGGTTTGCAACGCTTTACACTATGGTCAGTACTGTGTGTGCATTCCATGTTTGTGTCACACGGAAACTCTCAGGCCTAATCTACACTGGAACGAGACTAAAAAAGAACAAATACCTTCATGCCGGGTTTTCCATACAATAGCCTTGGGGGTTAACTCTGTAGAACACTTTTTCCAGTTTACAAAAATACAGTAAAAGCGGCGTTATCCGGCACTCTACCAACCGGAGAGCTCTATAAACCGACATTTCTGATCTTCATTGAAAGTCCAGTTTATCGTCCAGTTGGCGTGGGGCCGGCAGGCTCCCCACCTGACTCCGTATGGTTCCCTGGAAGCGGCGACATTTCCCTGCTGCTTCTAGGTGCAGGAACAGCCATGGGGGCTCTGTGCACTGCCCCTGCCCCAAGTGCTGGCTCCGCAGCTCCCACTGGCCGGGAACCGCGGCCAATGAGAACTGCGGGGGTGGTGCCTGCAGATGGAGGCAGTGCGCAGAGCCACCTAGCTGCGCCTCTGCCTAAGAGCAGCAGAGACATGTTGCCGCTTGCAGGGAGCCGCCCGAGGTGAGCACCACCCAGATCCGGCACCCCATAACCCTTCCCGTGCCCCAACCCCCTGCCCCGAGCCCCCTCCGGCACCCAAACTCCCTCCCAGAGCCCGCGCCCAGCACCCTCTCCTGGGCCCCAAGCCCCTATCCTGAGCCTCCTCCCACACCAAAACTTCCTCCCAGAGTCTGTGCTCCACATTCCCTCCTGCACCCCAACTCCCAGCCCTGAGCCCCCCCCCCCCCCGCACCCAAACTCCCTTCCTCTTAGTTAACCAGAATTTTTGACTTACCAGCTCCCCCCATTTCCCTAACATGCCGGATAACAAAACTTTTATTGTACTTTTCTTTGTATCCCAATTTCTTTTTGGGGAAACAACAGGTCAAAAAGGCTCCCCCGCCAGCCTCCAGTCCATTCCTGTCCATTTTTTCAATCATTATTCAAACAAAGGACTCTAGAGTCTGAGAAACTGAATTCTGCTTTATTGTTTCAAAGCAAGAAATAAAAGACAACCCGCCTGATGCCCCGCCCGGCACGGTGCATTTCAGCCCCAGCCCGGCAAATTGCGGCCCCTGCACGCACCAAAACAGAGCAACATTTTGCAGCTGGTAGAACATGGGCGCGAATGTGTGAGAGACCCTGGGATCCCGTCACAGCCACACGCGCTTCAAGAGACCCAGCGAGCACAACTCAATCTGAGCTAGAGAACAAGGCGAATGTACAGAAGGAGCAGCATCTCCAATCCCAGCTGAGGCTTTTATTTACCCAGGACACGCCTGGTGTGTGTGGGGCCAGCGTGGCCAAGAGTCTCCGTTGCTCCCACGTAGGGTGCTGCGGTAGATGGGGAGCGGGTGACCTGTGACCAGCTCCGTTGCCCTCTGCTTCGGTAATAGGGGTCAGCCTGGTTTCAGGCCTGTTGGCTTCTCTGCCTCTTCCTCCCAGGAATCTGGGGATCCCCCCGCCCACCCTCTGCATCACTTCCCTTGGGGCATGATACATAGAAATCAGAGCTGTCCTCGTCCAACACTCATAGGACATTCCTTGTAGAACAGCCTTGGCTCTTGGGCTCCCTAGCTCTGTATATTCCAGCTCCCACACTCTCCCGTTCCAGACAGTATTTCACAGCGCTGCCCGGGTCAGGCAGCAACATCCTTCCCCCTTTCACTCTCTGCCTCTCAGGCTGCGACTCCTACTCTGCCCCCACCAGCATTCGTGCCCATGGTTATTTATAATGACCATTCCTCAAACCACACTAAAAATTCACGACAAAAGGGTGTGGAAACAGAATAAAAGAAAGGGCTATTCGAGCAATCGATTGCTTCTCGTGCAGTCCCCAGTGCATCGACATTACGTCCCCTCAGGCTAAACGAAGAGAGACGCGTGTGACCAAACGGCCTTCAAGTATATAAACAAAACCTGACACTTTGAGGGTGGGCTATAAAACAATTTCTGGTTCACACACAATGATGAGCATGTTCAATCTGACGCAGAGGAAAACGGATGTACCCGTGTTCTCCACTAAACTGCCTACACCCACTTCCCCCGGAGCCCCCTTCTTATTTAGACCTATTATTTACAAAAGTTTTGCATCCTCATAATGAAAAACAAAATAAGAACATAACAGTGGCCATACTGGATCAGACCAAAGTTCCATCTAGCCCAGGATCCTGTCTTCCAACAGTGGCCAGTGCCAGGTGCCCCAGAGGGAATGAACACAACAGGGAATCATCTAGTGATCCATCCCCTCTCACCCATTCCCAGCTTCTGGCAAACGGAGGCTAGGGACACCATCCCTGTCCATCCTGGCTAATAGCCATTGATGGACCTATCCTCTGTGAACTTATCTAGTTCTTTCTTGAACCCTGTTATAGTCTTGGCCTTCACAACATCCTCTGGCAAGGAGTTCCACAGGTTGACTGTGCGCTGTGAGAAGAAATATTTCCTTTTGTTTGTTTTAAACCTGCTGCCTATTAATTTGATTGGGTGACCCCTAGTTCTTGTGGTATGAGAAGGAGTAAATAACACTTCCTTATTTATTTTCTCCATCCCAGTCATGATTTTATAGATCTCAAACATATCCCCCCTTAGTCGTCTCTTTTCCAAGCTGAAATGCCCCAGTCTTATTAACCTCTCCTCATACGGAAGCCGTTCCATACCTCTAATAATTTTTGTTGCCCTTTTCTGAACCTTTTCCAATTCCAGTATCTCTTTTTTGAGATGAGGTGACCACATCTGCAGACAGTGTTCAAGATGTGGACGTACCATGGATTTATATAGAGGCAACATGATATTTTCTGTCTTATTATCTATCCCTTTCCTAATGATCCCCAACATTCTGTTCGCTTTTTGGCTGCCGCTGCACACTGAGTGGATGTTTTCAGAGAACTCTCCACAATGACTCCAAGATCTCTTTCTTGAGTGGTAACAGCTTAGACCCCATCATTTTATGTGTATAGTTGGGATTATGTTTTCCAATGTGCATTACTTTGCATTATTCAAAACCTTATAAAAACCCAACCTTCCTATCTGCAAACAAGCTGAGCTTGGCAAGAAAATGCCCGGAAGCTGCTTTATCAATGAAGTGGGGTTTAAACTCAGAAGGATCACACTGGATTTGGGATACACTGGTATCGTGACAAGTTCAGCTCCAATGCTGGTGAGTTTGACATAGGATCACAGAGGCTCAAAGAGCAATTCCTAAGCGTGGGAGCGGAGATCACTGAGTCATGTGACACGCTGAGAGGCAGAAGGGTAGAACGGGGGAGATAAACTCTCCATGGCTTGGACAGATACTGCTGTCATGAGGGGAGACCACCAGGGTGACCGGCGAAGGAGGGGAATTGCTGTAGCTCACCCCCTTGACCCCAAGTCACATGGAGGCTTCACCACCACGTTTTTCTCTCCCCTGCTCCAACTCTTTGAGAATCGCCTCTTTCATTCTATAAACAACCAGAGCCGGCAGCTTCTTCGGCACAACCTACAGCACGGTGAGAAGAACTGGGAATGAGACAATCTGTCGCCCATAGGGTCAGATTCATCTCTTTTGGGCCCCGGCGCCCAGACCGTGGCCCTGCCCCCGCTCTGCCCTGAGGTCCCGCCCCCACCTGACCTCTTCCGTCCCCGAGGCCCCGGCCCACCTGGCCTCTTCCCCCACAAGCCCTGCCAAAGCTCTGCCCCAAGGCCCCATTCCCGCTCGGTCCCTCTGCCCTCAGGCCCCGCCCCCACTTGGCCTCTGTGCTCTGAGGCCCCACCCACCATTCACACAGGGGGAGGGGGTGGAGAAGAGCAAGCAGGTTGGTGCCATTGTAAACCCAGCGCTGGTCCCCAAAGGAAGAACTCAGCAACTCTGACAATCACTCTGCTAACGGTGGGGACCACTGTGAATGAGAAGCTCCGGGTCGGTCTAGATGAGGAAATGCGTTGGCGGTTCGGTCCGCGTCAGGAGAAATGTGCTAGCTATACCTAATCCCGAGTCGAGCGGAAGTGTCAGAGGCCAATGGGACTGGCTTTGAGGGGAGATTCCTAGGGCTTTCGGCTTTTTTAAGCATCCTACAGTGGGACGCTATGGAAATCAGTGCTTCTCAGAGGGGTAACGATATGGGGCAGCACCTCTCTAACCGCAGCCCTTCTCCCGTGATCCCCAAATTTCTCTCCTGGGTGGAGTGTCTGATGTCCAACGTGGAGTTAGCTCTGCTTGGAGCTTTTCCCACAGTAACGACCTTTAAGAGGTCTCTTCGCTGGGTGCATTTGCTGATGCCTGGCGCAAACTGACCCAGGCTGACGCTTCTGCCCCACTCAGGGTTTGGCTCCTGCGTGGATTCTCTGGTGCACAATGAGTTGGGAGCTCTGGCTGAAGCTTTTCCCGCAGTGAAGGCAGTAATAGGGTTTCTCTCCCGTGTGGATTCCCTGATGTCTAATGAGGCTGGAGCTCAGGTTGAAACCTTTCCCACAGTCCGAGCATTTGTAGGGTTTCTCCCCCCTGTGCAGTCTCTGATGGGTAATGAGCTGTGAGCTCTGAATGAAGCTTTTCCCACATTCTAGGCAGTTGTAGGGTTTCTCTCCTGTGTGGATTCTTTGATGTGCAATCAGGTTGGAGCTCTGCCTGAAGCTTTTCCCACAGTGCAGGCATTTACAGGGCCTCTCCCCCGTGTGCAGTCTCTGATGTACCACAAAGTTGGAGTTCCGATTGAAAGTCTTTCCACAGTCCAGGCATTTGTAGGGTTCCTCGCCCGTGTGGATTCTGTGATGCACAATCAGCTCTGAGGTCCGACTGAAGCTTTCCCCACAGTCGGGACATTTATAGGGTCTTTCCCCGGTGTGGATTCTCTGGTGGGCAACAAGAACGGAGCTCTGTATGAAACTTTTCCCGCACTCAAGGCATTTGTAGGGCCTTTCGCCCGTGTGGATTCTGTGATGGGCGATGAGGTGCGAGTTGTCACTGAAACTTTTCCCACATTCGAGGCACTTATAGGGTCTTTCTCCCGTGTGGGTTCGCTGATGTCTAAGGAGAAGTGAGCTCTGACTGAAGCTTTTCCCACAATCGAGGCATTTATAGGATTTCTCCCCTGTATGGGTTCTCTGATGTCTAATAAGATAGGAGCGCCAATGAAAGGTTTTCCCGCACTCCGCACACGTATTATCTCTCTCTCTGGCGTGGATTCTCGGCTGGACTGTGGTTTCTTTGAGATCGTTGCATCCTCCCACACGGGGAATGGCTTGAGCCACGTTCTCCCCTGGCTGGTTTCCCAGCTGCCTCTCTGACCCGCATTGATTTCCAGAGTCCTGTGTGTGACTCTGGGGAACGTTCCTTTCTGATGTCACTGATAACACTGTGCGCAGTTCCGCTTGTCCAAGGCCTTCCTGCCGTTGATTCTCCTCCCCGTTCTCACTGCCCATCTTACCAGCTGCTGGGACAGAGAGAGAATCCAGACACGAGTCGTTCCCGGGGCCCAGCAAAAGGGGAACTGCTAAGAGAGGAAACACAGCAGGATAACTGCTGGGGAAATTGAGACAGGTAAAATTTCTAACCCATCTGTCGTTTCAACTTCTCTGAAGTGGGTCCCTGGTGTGACGTGAGCCATTACAACTGGGTTATTCTGCCTCATATGTTACCTGCCAGCTCTGTGTTCTTGGGGAACCAGGGCTCAGTATCCAGCCTGTCTGACTCACGAAGGTCATCCCCCCTCCCCAGCCGCTGCTTGAACCAAAACCGATCAGAAGAAAGACTTACAAAAAGCAATGAAAAGGCAGTGGGAGGCACACCTAAACCCCTGGGATAAGGGTGACAGGATTAAGGAAAGTCCCCTAGCCTCCCCATAGGCACCTGGTGGTCCATGATCCATTATGAGTGGGAAGCAGCCAGCGATAAAACCAATCTCCACAAATGGGAAGGAAACGTAAAACATCAAAAATATTGAACCAAGAAGAGAAACAGCTCTTATTTGAGGGAATTTTGATTGTTTGCTTTAGTTTTTCTTCGTCTTCCTTCCCACACCATATCAAGGGTTTTAATGATGGGAATGGAGTCACTGGTGACGGTTCGTATCAGCACTAATGACACTGCATCGTGGGATATCTTGCAGATAGTAGATGATGTCAGGGAACTCAGAGTGCAAAAGAAGAGGAATGTCCAAGCAATCTTCTCTGACATCCTTCCTGGCCCATGGGAAAAGGAAGACAGAAGGCAATAAATTCTGGAAGTGAATCACTGGCTAGATAAATGGCATAAGGTGGAGAGTTTGGGAGTTTTGGGACACTGGTCCACCTTTTATGTGAAGAGGGGGCTGTATAGTTTGGAAGGCCTCTACCTCAGTAGAAGAAGGACCAACCTTCTCAGGGACTGGTTGGCTATGGTAATTAGGAGGGCATTAAACTAACAAAAAGGTAGCGTAAAAAGAGGAACAACCAGAGCACTCAGCACAAAATCAAAATGGTGGAAACAAAATTAATCAAGGACGCAAAGGACACGAAGCGAAGAAATTCTTGAATTGCCCATACGTCAATGCTAGGAACCTGGGTAAGAAACAAGAGGAATTAGAAGGACATGTTTCTGAGTGTAAATCTGATCTCACTGACATTACAGATCCCTGGTGGGATGATTTCCATGACTGGAAGGTTAAAATAAATCATTATAACCTATCTAGGAAGGACGGAGTGGGCAAAAGTGGGGAGCCAGTGGCATCATTGATGACTTGGAAGAAAATGATCTTAAATGGTTATGGATCAATGTCCTAACAGATAAAGCACAAGATGGGGTATTACTTGGTATCTGCTACAGACCATCAAATTTCACTAAGGAACAGGATGACTAGGTCCTTAAGAACCTATCTATAAAGCGTAGGGAAAAAAAGCTGTGTGATCATGGGGGACTTCAGTCTGAGTGACAAACGCTGGAGGTCTCATGCCGCCAGTACTAAAACATCCTTGGAATCTCTAAGCATTATAGATGGCAATTACCTGGCTCAAACAGAACCTAACCACAGAACTAAAAATCAATGGTAACTTAGGTACCAGGGATCACGACCTGATCACATTTATATACTTGGTCCAGTTTCACACAGCTGAAGACAATTATGAGCCAAATCAGCTGGGAGAAAGAACTGAAGCAGAAAAATGTGAATGACAATTGGGAATTGTTTAAGAACTTGATGCTCAAAAAGCTATGACCCCACAATCCAAGAAGAAGGATGTATTGGTTAAAAAAATGATCTGGTTTAGAGAGGATGTGAATGCAGCTATAAAAATTTAAATATATAGATATATAAAAAATGACAAAAGGAGAAGTTTATAGTATTTAATAATAATAAATCAGACGCTAGGCATGGTAGAAAATTGGTAAGGAAAGCAAAGGGACACAAGAAGAAATCTATGGTTCTATGAAGAACAATAAGAAGTTTTTAAAGTCCATTAGGAACAAAAAGAATCCTAACAATGGTACTGCAAGAGGGAAATGGTAGAATTTTCTATAATAATGCATATGAGGCAGAAGTGTTCAATAAACATTTCTGTTCCAAACTTGGGGGGAATACAGATGATGTAGTCCTTTTATATAATGATACTCTTTCCATTCCATGACTATCTCAGGAGGATGTTAAACATCAACTACTAAAGTTACACATTTTTAAATCAGCAGGACCAGATAATTTGCATCCAAGAGTTTTAAAAGAACTGGCTGAGGAGCTCACTGGATCGTTAAGGCTGATTTTCAATAAGTCTTGGAAAATCAAGGAATTTCCAGAAGACAGGAAGAAAACTAATGTTGTGCCAACATTTAAAAAGGGTAAATGGGATGACTCAGGTAATCATAGGCCTGTCAGTTTGACATCAATCCTGGGCAACATAATGGAGCAGCTGATACAGTACTTGATTAATAAAGGATCAAAGGAGGGTAACATAATTAATGCCAATTAACATGCATTTATGGAAAATAGATCCTGTCCAACAAACTTGATATCTTTCTTTGACGAGATTACATGTTTGGTTGAAAATAGGGTTGCCAATTTTGGTTGGACGTATTCCTGGAGGTTTCTTTAATATAATCTTTAATTCTTGGAGACTCCAGGACAATCCTGGAAGGTTGAAAAGATACTACTGTTGATGTAATTATACTTAGACTTCTGTAAGGTGTATGACTTGCTACCATATGACATTTTGATCAACAAACTAGAACAATAGAAAATTAACATGGCACACATGAATGGATTAAAAGCTGGCTAACTGATAGGTCTCAAAATGTAATTTTAAACAGGGAATCGCCATCAAGTGAGTGTGTTTCCAGTCAGTTCTCGGCCCTCCACTATTTAACATTTTAATTAACGACCTGGAAGAAAACATAAAATCATCACTAATAAAGTTTGCCAATGACACAAAAACTGGGGGAGTGGTAAATAGTGAGGAGAACAGATCACCGATACAGAGCGATCGGGACCACTTGGTGAACTGGGCGCCAAGCAAACAATACGTGTTTCAACACAGCTAAATGTAAATGTATACATCTAGGAACAAAGAACATTGGCCATACTTCCAGACTGGGGGACTCGATACAAGGCGGCAGTAATTCTGACATAGATTTGGGTGTCATGGTGGATAATCAGCTAAACATGAGTTCCCAGAGCAATGCAGTGGCTAATGCAATGCTTGGAGGCATAAACAGGGGAATCTTGAGTAGGAACAGAGGTTATTATTTTATCTCTGAATTTACTGCAACCTGAATTTTAGCGACCTTGGCTAGAATATTGTGTCCAGTCCTGGTGTCCAAGAAGAATACGGATAATATGGAGTGTGTTCAGAGAAGAGCCATACAACGATCAAAGGATTTGAAAACATGCCTTATGGTGGAACAATCAGGGAAGCCATTCAATTTAGCTTCACACAGAGAAGCTTAAGGGGCGACTTGATCATGGTCTAGAAGTGCGTATGTGGGGAATAGAAATGCGGTAGGCGAGTGCTCTTTAATGTGACTGACAAAGATATTAAAAAAAATCTAACAGCTGGAAGTTGAAGCTAAATAAATGCCGACTAGAAAACCGGCACAATATTTTAACGGTGAAGGGAATTAACCACTGCAACAATTTACCAAGCGTGGTTCGGGTTCTCCATAACTGGACATTTTAAAATCAAGCCAGGTTGTTGTTCTGAAAGCTGTATTGTAATTCAAACAGTAATTGATTCAGGAAAGTCCTATGGCCCAGGGGCGTCAGAACGGGGGGGGGGGGGGAAGGGGCCACGGCCCATCCACTCTTTGCCAAGGGCCCAGCCCCTCCTCTTCCACCTGAGGTCCCGCCCCCCAGCCAGGACAGAAGCTGGAGCCCGGCCCAGGTAAGAGCGGCCCGGGGAGCCCGGGCAGCTGTGCAGAGGTGCAGATCCTCCACCTGCCCACGGCAGGGGGGCCCTGAGAGCAACCCTCAGCCCGTGTCCCTGCCCCCGCCCCCAGGACCAGTGCCAGGGCAGATGGTGGGTCCGCGGCTCTTCACAGCTGCCCAGGCGGCTCCTACCATGGCCCGGCTGTGGCTCTTTGGCCCCCGAGGCCCCACCCCCCAGCCAGAAGCTGGAGCCGAGTCAGGGTAAGAGCCATGCGAGCAGCTGCTCGGAGTCACGGACCCTCCACTGGGCAGGCAGTCCAGGGAGGCAGGGACACGGGGCGGGGCTAGATTCCGACTTGGCCAGGGGGCGTGGCTTCGGGGGAAAGAGGAAGGGGAGGGGTGGGGCCACGAAGGGGGCAGGGCCTTGTGGCCCCCCCCTGTTTAAGGCAGAATCTCTCACCCCCGCTATGGCCTGTGTGTAGCTGGATATCAGACAAGTTGATCACAGAGGTCCCGTCTGACCTTATAAGCTATGCATCTAGGAAATTAAGGATTCCTGGCCCCTGTTGCCAAGTTTCACCTTGGCCTGGACCCTGAGTAGCCAGAGACACATGGCTTGAAGCTTCTGCAGAGCCAGCACCCACTGCCGAATTTTGGCACCAAAGAGCTGAAGGATTCTGAGGTCGAGTCTCTGAACAGCTCCACCTACTGTGGCGACAGTGAGAAAGTCAAGTCAGCGAGAGGAGTGAAATCAGATGAGATCAGGGTGTGCCATGGGTAGAGCCTTTGTCACAAAAAACATTGATTTTAACACGATCCTGTGATGCGCTGGGGGTCCATGGGATCTGAACGGACGGGAACATGGTCTCTGAACCCCTGGGGAAAAGCAGATGGCTGATGGGGCTGTGAGGATGAAAATCTCTCTCCTTCAATCTGGGATTATGGGATCCATTCCCCTGAAATTTAATGGACCAGAGAAGAACCTGAGAAGAAGGTGAACTGGGCACAACACCTGCTGCAGCTTCTAATAACCGAGGGGACAGGAATCCCTTACCCGGCGAGGTCACCGTCTCGTAGTTCTCCTGCATGACGTCCCTGTAGAGGGCTCTCTGAGCGGGGTCCAGCAGAGCCCCCTGCCCCTGGGTGAAATAAATAGCCACCTCCTCGAAGGTCACCGGCATCTGAAACACCAAGAGTCCCCCGCTCAGCACCTGCTGCCCCAGCCACAGTCCCACTAGTCATGGGGGAGGAGAGCCGATAAAACAGAAGCTTGTGGGGGAGAGTGTAACAGGGTAGCAGAATCCCACCCCACCCTGCTCAGAGCAGCCAGGAGGCTTCAGGGTGGGGAGAAGGGGAGAGCTCCTTGTCCCCCGCAGCCGGTGGAGGAGGGTAGGGGCCTTCCCGGTTATCACACACCTACTAGCCAGAGGCTGCCACAGGAAGTGGAGCCCCTCAGCAGAGTCCAGGGACAGGAACCCCCAACCCCCGCCCCATTCCCAGCAGCTGGGGGTGAGGGGACGGAGCCTTTCCCCTGGGCCTCACTGCGGGGTGCTCCCTTCGCATTCCACCGCAGCTCCCTGAAAATCCCCTACCTGAGCCGGCTCCACCACAGCCATTTCCCTTCCCTGTCCCCCAGGGGGATGACAATCCGGAGCGAAACGGGGTTTATTTCAGAAGTGGCTTGAGTCCATTTCACACCCCAATTCCCCCCTCCCCCTCCCCTCAAGGCTGTTTCCCCGCAGACAGATGCTTTAGAGCAGTAGTGGGTCACGACATGTAAGGCACTGGGTGGCAGCGGCTCTGGTCAGTACCACCAACCAGGCCATTAAAAGTCCCGTCAACGGCGCTGCCCAGCTAAGGCGGGGGTGCGGGGGTGCTAAGGCAGGCTTCCTGCCTGTTCTGACACCACGCTGTGCCTCGGAAGTGGCCAGCAGCAGTCCAGCTCCTAGGCGGAGGGGCCACGGGGCTCCGCGTGCTGCCCCCTGTCCCAAGCACGGGGCTCTGCACTCCCACTGGCCAGTTCCCAGCCAATGGGAGCTGGGGGGGCGGTGCTTGTGCACCTCCACCTAGGAGGCAGGGCTGCTGCTGGCCGCTTCCGGGGCAGGACGCGGCCTCTGGTGCCAAGACAGGCAGGAAGCCTGCCTTAGCACCCCTGCTGCACCGCTGACCGGGAGCCACCCAAGGCAAGCCTGCACCCCAACTCCCTGCCCCAGACCTGAGCCACCCCCAAACCCAGAGTCCCTTCCTACACCCCAAACCCCTCATCCCCAGCCCTACCCCAGAGCCTGCACCCCCAGCCCAGACCCCTGACCCCCTCCCACACCCCAACCCCCTTCCCCAGCCCTGAGCCGCCCCCAAACCAAGAGTCCCCTCCTGCACCCCAAACCCCTCATCCCCAGCCCCACCACAGAACCTGCACCTCCAGCCCAGAGCCTTAACCCCCTCCCGCACCCCAACCCTCTGTCCCAGCCCTGAGCCCCTCTCACACCCCAAACCCCTCATCCCCAGCTGCGTTGGATCATGGGCACCAACAATTTTCTTCAACTGGGTCGCCAGAAAAAAAGTTTGAAAACCACTGCTTTAGACCAGGGGTAGCCAATCGGTGGACTGTGGGCCAAATCGGGACCGCCAGGCGCTTCTGAACAGCCCGTGAAATCTTTTTATCCACTTCTTATTGTGACTGCCAGGGGCGGATTACCGCACGGGCCAACGGGACCCGTGCCCGGTGGCCCCAGCCAATTTGGGGGCCCCCCCCGAAAACCTCCCCCCACTACGGCTCCAGGGCTGGAAGAACTTCTCCGGTCTCAGGGCCACAGCGGGGTGGGGGGGGGAGAGCGAGTAGGGGGCGGGACCACGGGGAAGGGGGGCGGAACAGGGTGGGGTTGAGGGCGGGGCTGCAGGTGGAAGGGGGGGGCAGGGCCACAGTGCTGGCACCACCCTGCAATGCTCTGGCCCAGGGTCTCCCCCCCCCACCCCCCCAGTGTTCTGGCCCAGGGTCCCCAGGAGACCTTAAATGGGGCTCTGGACCTTAATGATGCCCTGACCAAGAAATCTGGACCTTGACCAAAAATATCTAGAGAATTGGCTACCCCTGGCTCTGCCAGGCTGGGAAAACAGGGGGTCACTTTAGTCCAGCGCCAATCCGGCCCCTCCCACCGGGACTAAGGTCCCCTCCCCCCAGGAATAGAGTCTCTGAGCCCAATGCTAGAAAAGCGCAGCATCCAAGGGGGACATGGTCCCCAAGGGCAGCGGGTCCCAGGGGTGCAGGAACAATCTGTACCGTGGGGGGGCTGGAAACCCAACTGTAAACCCTGGATATGATGGGAACCCTGCCAAGCCCGGGAGGGGGGGGGGCGGGAGTCCCCCTAGTTCCAGCCCCGGGGCAGAGTCACTTTCCTGCCTGGCCCCGGCCCTGTTCCCCAGGTCTCCCCATCACCTGCAGGCTCCGGCTCAGGGGCTGGTTCCAGGCTCAGGAGAAAGTCCCCAGCTGGGCTGGGCACGGGATGGGGGGGGGGGGGGCGTGGGCCTGGCTGAAGGGCTCTCCCCACGCAGCAGCAGCTGCTGGGTGCAGATCACAATGGAGGAGGCAGCCACCCGGCGCATGGGTCTGACCCAGGAAGCTCAATAGTATGAAAGGGAGAGAGACAGAAAGCGGTGCCCTCCCATCCCCACAGCCAGGGCCCTCTGGTGGCAGCTGGGAAAGAACAAACCAGAGGCAGGGCTGCAAACATTGTATTTCAAAAATAAAGAAAGGCCTGTTTTCTTAGCACCCCTTCCCCACCCCTCCGCCCAATATCATCATTAATAACAAGCCGTGCTCACCTGCGGTCTCCAGGGGTATTTCCTGCTGTGGGCAGAGGCGGATTAAGGTGTCATAGACTCTCAGGGTTGGAAGGGTCAATCCCCAGTTTTTGCCCCAGATCCCTAAATGACCCCCTCAAGGATTGAACTCACAACCCTGGGTTTAGCAGGCCAATGCTCAAACCACTGAGCTATCCCTCCCCTCCAGGGGCCCTGGGCCAGACCAAGTGGGGGGCCCCTCCCACCCCTTCTGCCTGTGGCCCTGCCCCCGTTCCTCCCCCCCCCCCCCCCCGCAGTCCCGCAACCTATTGGCTCCTTTCTGCCCCCACCCCACTGAGGCCCCAAGACCAGAGAAGCACTGTCCCCCCGACCAGGGCCCGGGGGCCACAGCGGGGAGTGAGAGCTCCCCCAGCCCTGAGTCCGCGGCACGGAGCCAGAGCTCCTCCAGTCCCGGGGCCGCAGCTGGGGTCTGGACACTGGGGCTTCCCTCACCACCCCGCGCTTCTGCCAAGGCCCAGGTTTGGGGCATTGCGGCTTTGCCCACCCTGGCCTCCCGATGCTTCTGCCGGGGCCCCAGATCAGGGTGCTTCCCCCATCCGCCCCACAGCTCCTGCCGCGGATTTCTTCTGGGGTGTCCATTTTTCTGCCTCCCCGCCTCAATTGGCCGGGGCCCCTGGGCACAGGCCCCATTGGATATTCTGCAACCGCCCACGGCAAAGCCGACATAGTCAGTGGCCTTAAAGCAAATTCAGAGGTTCTCACGCAGAATTTTTCTTACTTTGCCGATCCGTAAATTTCTATGATTAGCAAGGAAATATTTTCCCCTCGGGCTGTGCATGCGGTGATTCAGTGTTTACCCATAAAAATCTAAGGCTGCCCATGTGGGTGAGAGCAGTAGCCAGAAGGCCGGGGCAGTACGGGGCCGGACTGCCCCTGGGCCCCCCACCTTTATGAGGGGGCAGGTGGCCCAAGGTGGCCTGGGGCTCGGAGCAATAGTAGGAGGGGCCTGGAGCTTGAGTGCTGGTGGCTGTGGGGAGGGGAGGGGCTGGGGCTGGGCTGGGGGCCGGCGTGTCCTAGGTTTTTGTAGCCCGAGGTGGCAACCCCACTCTGCTCCTCTGCCAACCTGTGCGTGACCATTGAAAAGTCGTCCTGCAGCGCACAGGCATACGCCTCCCCTGGGCCGCTCAGACGGAGACTCCACTTACCCTTCCCTCACCCCTAAGATAAGGAACCTGCCATGAGCGCGACCGTCCGCCCCGAATTGGGCGAAGGACAGTCCTGAAATGCAGAGTTCAAGTCCCAGTCCTGGGTTGAATGACTCCGGGACAGCATTTGTCCCCGATTCCCTGCAGCTCTGCTCTGCACCTGCTCAAGGCTCAGGTATGGTGCCAGCCAGTTCCCCGTGGGCTGGGCTGAGGTGGGCCTTAGCCCCCCCCACCCCCCGCTCACCACAAGGTCCTGCTCCTGCTCCTCCTCTTCCCCCCTCCAGGTCCCGCATATAAACCAAACCAGAGAGCTGGGCTGTAGTAAGAGCAGCCCAGGAAGCCTGTGGGGAGCCCCGGACCCTCCACCTGCCCTGGGCAGCACGCCCCGTGGGGCAGGGAAACGGGCCAGGGGCTAATCTCGGGCACCCCAGCTCCTCGCCCAGGGAAGGTGGAAGGGCTGGGGCTGGTGGGCAAGCCTCCCTGAAGGGGGGGCGGGGGTGTTCACCTGCTGCCTATGTTTCAAACTGTTGTGATGGGTGGGGGGGAAGAATGGAAGAGAAAAGACAAATGGGGACTTGGGGTCCTAGAATGACAGGGAATGGCCACAAGGTGGCAGCAGAACCTAAGGACTGGGAAGCTGGAGGTTCCATATGGACTGACTCAGTGGCAGAGGGCTGCTATGCTTTATATTAGGGCTGTCAAGCGATGAAAAAAATAATCACGATTAATCGCGAGATTTAAAAAATTCATCGCAGGTTTAATCGCCCTGTTAAACAATCGTAGAGTACCAAGGGAAATGTGTTCTAAATATTTTTTGGATGTTTTTCCGACCTTTTCAAATATATTGATTTCAATTACAACGCAGACTACAAAGTGTACAGTGCTCACTTTACATGATTATATTTTATTACAAATATTTTCACTGGAAAATAAGATAAGCAATCTACAAGTCGAAGCATGAAGGGGCATACGAATGTTTAGTGCATCTGGCATGTAAAGACCTTGCAATGCCAGCTACAAAAGTTCCATGCGAACACCTGCTCTCACTTTCAGGTGACATTGTAAACAAGAAGCGGGCAGCATGATCGCCCGTAAATATAAACACACTTGTTTGTCTTAGCGATTGGCTGAATAAGAAGTAGGACTGAGTGGACTTGTAGGCTCTAAAGTTTTACATGGTTTTGTTTTTGAGTGCAATTATGTGAAAAGTCATTCTACATTTGTAAGTCGCACTTTCACGGTAAAGAGCTCGCACTACAGTGGTTGCACGAGGTGAATCGAAACATACTATTTCTGTTGTTTATCTTTTCTACAGTGCAAATATTTGTAATCATATAAAGTGAGCACTGTGCACTTTGTAGTCTGTGTTGCAATTGAAATCAATATGTTTGAAAATGTAGAAAAAACACCCAAAAATATTTATAATACATTTCCACTGGTATTATTGTTTAACAGTGTGATTAAAACTGATTAATTGTAATTCATTTTTTAATCGCGCTAACGCAAAACAAATTAATTGCTTGAGTTAACTGGTATTAATTCACGGCCCTACTTTATATGGACTGACTTTGCATGACTTGGGGGCTACTATACTGTATATGGACTGACTTTGCATGACTTGGGGGCTACTATACCGTATACGGACTGACTTTGCATGGCCTGTATATAGCTGATTCTCTGGTTCTTGAAAGGACATGGGAGAGTATAGCCACTGGGGCAGGAAACAGATCTGGAGACACCTGTCACCAGGGGGATGATGGTGCCAGAGGCTAGGTGGGGATGCACCTCATTGGGGTTAGGGGCTCCCCCATTGCGGTGTCACCCCTGCTCCCCTCCAGCAATGACACCTCTGTTTCCTTCCACCCACAGCGACTACCTCTTGTGTCACAGGCAGGATCGATCCTTCCCCCAGGGCTGGCCTCTGCCTCTAATGCTCCGAGGGTACAAGATTCTCCCCTCTATTCTCGGTGTGAAACCCCAGCTCCCAACTCAGGCTGTGCCCCTGAAGTATGAGGGTTAAAGATCTCCCAGGGCCCTGCTCCCACCCCTCCTTGTGCCTGTTGCCCATGGCCCTGGGCGGCTCCTGCCCTGCGGAGCCATAGGAGCGGGGAGCACAAGGCCAGACTTGCCAAGTCCCATGGCATTCCCGTGCCCCTGGGGCATTGGCCCTGGAACCAGCAGGAGAAGGGGGAAGAAATGAGGGGGCCAGGCCCTAGACAGGGGCTCAGGAGAGCTGGATTCAACTTCTGGCTCCTTGTGCAAATCACCCCATCTTTCTGTACATCAGGTCCCTCATCAGCAAACATGGGACAACAACCAAGCTTCCTTTGGCTGGCTTGCCTGGTTTGGGGGCAGGGACTGCCTCTTCCTGTGTTTGCAGCGCCCAGCACAACAGGGCCCTGATCTCAGCTGGGGCAGGGACTGTCTCTCCCTGTGTGTCTGGGCAGCGCCTGGCACAACGGGGCCCTGATCTCAGAGCCTCCATGTACTACTGTAAAACAAATAGTCCTAACATCAGGGATACAGGGAGGGGGCAGGGGTTACATCTGGGAACGGTGGCCTAATTTACGAGATAAATGGCATCAATACAATTTGTTGTAAGCCCTTCAAGGATTCCATGCGGGAGGGGCCGAGGGCGGGAAGGGGAATCCATTCCTGGATCAGGGAGCATTCCTTTGCTTTGTGTTTGCACCTAGCACGGCAGAGTCCCGAGCCAGGAGAGAGGTTCCCAGGCACTACTCAACACAACACTCCTCTGTCTCAATAGGGTGTTCCCGTTGGCCATGCATTGCCTGGCCTCCTCTCAGTTGCCCCATTTCAAGGAACAGTCAGTAAAGAATGACTGTCGGATTTGCTAGAAGCTTGTCATGCTGCCCGTATTATAACAAGGGGCTGATGCAAACATTTCCCCCCCATGGAGACTGGGATGAAACCTGTCTCCTCATAAGGGGAGGATTCTAGGGGGGACTGGGAACCAGGACTCCTGGGTTCTAGCCACACCTCTGGGAGTGGTGTCTAGTGGGTTAGAGCCAGAAGGCTCTGGGAGTCAGGACTCCTGGATTCCAGCTCTGGGAGGGGAGGGGAGTCTAGTGGTTAGAGCAGGGGAGACTGCGGGTCAGGACTCCTGGGTTCTAACCCCAGCTCTGGGAGGGGAGTGGGGCCTAGTGGGTTACAGCAGGGGGCTGGGAAGCAGCCCTGCTGGGGGCTATTTCCACTCCTTATTCTGCCACATTGGCTGCTTCACTTCACTTTCGCTGTTTCCCGCCCCCCACCCCCAAGTTGAGGAATGTTTCGTCAGCCCCCAGGTAAGAACTGAAGAGATGCCACTCACTGAGCCAGGACTTGCTTCACCCGCTCTTTGAAGGTCATTTACATCCTTCCCTTCTCTACCTCTCCACTGCGAGACCAGCCCAACTTGTCTTTACCACTGAGGAACAGCGGGTCCCACCCGCTGCTCTGAAAATCCAAGGCAAGGAGGAATTCAGCCCTACCTCCCCATGGAGGAATTGGTGGTAAGGATGGGACTATCCTGGGTGGGACCCTCCCCCTCAGAGATCTCCAGATGTTCCTCCGTAGATGTTCACACACAGGGAAGGGGCTCTACTGAAACATTGCTTGTGACGGTTGGCCTGGAGTTGCACTGAGAAAGAGGCTTGGACACCTGCCTACCTACCTGTGACAAGTAAGAATTGCCATGGATAGGTTAGAAGTCTAGAGGGCTGATGGTCTCCGGCTAGGTCTTGCCAGCACCGTTAATGCCTCTCGAGTTCGCAGTGCAGCTGCTCCTGAGCTAGGCTCGGCAGAGCGATCCACTGAGCGGCACAGCATGGTCACGTTAGCAGCTGAGGAGCTGGGCTCTGTTGCCGGCACCCTCTTCCAGGCCAGCCAGATGGAGACGAAAGCTCCCTTGTGCTCATGTGGTTGGGACTTGAGTTAGGAGCAAGGCGTGAGTTAACTCTGCAGTGAAGACAAGCCCACCATGGATTGGAGATGGGACCATTCCAAACGGTTACCATTGATGTGATTCAATACTTCTGTACAGCTATTTCCCTCCCCTCCCGGCTCTCAATGGGGTGGCCATGACCTTGGACTTTCTGCACCTCCCCTCCAGACCCAGCAGCAGGGCCAGAGGACAGCGCGGCCCTCTTCTCCTGTCTAGGGAAACAGGACCGGCCAACCTGGTCTTGGCCATGCAGCAGAACCACCGGGATGGAACCCTGTCCCAGCCCAGCACCAAGGCTGCGAGCTCACCCCGGACGCCTGATTATTGAGGGGCTACTGCAGATACATCTCTGGTAGAATCACCCCTGTGATAACCTTGGCAATGTGGGGAGGAAGGAGCAATCAGGAGGCAGCTACGTTCTGTGGGTAAAGCAGTGCTGGCTTCTGGTCTGCCATTGACCTGCTGTGTGTGACCATAGGCATGTCACTCTCCTCCCCTATCCCCACCATGCCTCTGTTTACCCTCATACCCATTGGCTGCTTAGAATGGAAGCCATTTCGGACAGGAGCTCACCCGAGAGGGCCTGGATCTCCTTTGTATTAGAGGAGCATCGCATGCTCCCCTAAATAAGGGGCTTGCTTCAGACATGACAGATCTTGGTCTCTATCTCACTTCACAACTGGACCCCTTGCAAAGCATGAGGGGTTTGGGCTCCACTGATTATCACACGTGGACATTGTCACATACCCTTCCCTTCTTCTGGCATGTTGGCGTAATTACGGGAGCCAGAGAACCCACCCCACGACTCCATCATGGCTGCGCATGGGGCAACTTATCAACCGCAGGTAACAAATAGCCCACGACAAACTACTTAGTACCAATGAGCCATTGGTCCCTGTTAGGACCAGATTCATTTCAGCCTCTCCCTCAACGGGTCTCCCCATGCCTGCTCTTTGCATTTAAACACCAGCAGGCTAACGGCTCTGCTACTCTTCCCCCAGCTGATGCGGGTTGGCGAGGGAGCCAGTCTCACCCCAAGGCTCTGAAGTGAGGGTGGCTGGAGTTGAGGGTGTTCAGAACATGCCACCAGTAGGGAGAGGCATGTGCTACGGGACAGTCCTTTCCAGAGAAGGGCTGTTGCTTGGGCCATTCAAAACTAGGTCCAAGTAAATGCCGCCCTAGGATCAATCCAAGGTGAGGGGGGTGGAGAGCAATGACGTGTCGAGCCGAAAAAGGTCTGGCTTTTATTTTATTCTGGAAAATAGTTTCTGCACCTTAAAGTTCGCTTTCGCAGAATGACGTTTGGACATAAAAACAGCATCTCTCCCTCCCTCCCCACAGCCCCCCTGCTCAAAATTCCTTCCTCCCCTCCTCCCCTGCCACTGAGAATGGCTTCAAGACTGGTCCAGGCATGTGGTTCTACCTCTCACCACCCCCCTCCCCAGGGAAGGGGGCAGCAGGCAGAGAGGGTAATAGTGGACTAATCCCAACCCCCGTGGTAGAGGGAGCAACCACTACGGGAAAGGAAACTGGTTTTAATCAACCTCCTTGAACAAAGGGTGGGCTTCAATCCCAACTCCCCTCAGTGCAGACCCTGCTCCATCTGAGGCTGAACAGAGCAGCTGGCTTCCCAGGCACCCTCAGTGTTTGGGGGTAGGGGACAGAGTATGGGATCCTCTCCAAGAGGGTAAGAGCACCCCAGGTGGTCGTATCTACTCCTCTCTTGCAAACCCACAGAGGAAAAACTCCCTCCACCAGAACCTCACATTGCTTCGGACAGGAACAGGGAGGGCTCACAAGGAGAGCTCCATCAGCCACAACGTAGTCGGGCTTCGTTTCGCTGGATCGACTTCCTCACCTTGAAGTCAACCAGAGTCTAAAGGCTTCTTGGCAGCATGGGGCAGAAAGCCCTACCTTGGAGCCACGTGTGGTGAGGGCGGCACAGCCCAGAGCAAACGGAACAGGGTGGGACTTTTGCCGCAGGCAGGGTGTGATGGAAGAGCCTGCCCAGCTCCCAGTTCCTGCCCAGGAGAATGGCAGGGATCCAACCCAACCTGGATGGCTTCCTGAAGAGCTGCCTGGATCCCACTGAAGTTCCTGCCTACAAATGGACCTCCCTCTCCCAGAGATTCTTCCTTCCGATAGATTCCCCCCATCCTGGCCCAAGGAGGGGAGGAAAGTTACACACACACACACACACTGAAGCACCCTTACTCTGAGAAAGCCCCCAGCGCTCTGGATATTGCTTACCAGAGCTGGGAGGGAAGGGGCACTTTGGAGACAGGACATTTTCAGACCCTTTAATACACTCTTGGAACAACCATCTCCTTCTTGGCTGTTGACATGGGAGCTCCTCTCTGCCTGACCTCACCAACAGGGTTTGGATCGCAGGGAAGCTTCTGCACCCACCCATCCTTTGCCAAACTTGCCCTAGGGCACCAAGCAATTTCATGGGTGATGTAGAATGCCAATGGGCGGTTTGGTTTCCCTCCTCCCCTGGCTCACCTCCCAGACGGGGGAAGATAAGGGGATTTAAAACAAAAACAGAACAATACAGCAAAATAATACAGTGGGGGAAAAGTTACCCTTTGGTGTGGTCTACATTTTGGCCAAATAAGGTCTGAACTGTAACTCTCCCTCCCCAAACTGGCTCTTGAACAGCTCAGCAGCACCTCTTAGGAGACTGGAGAGGGGGGTCTACCCCCACAGATAAGGCAGGGCTCATTGTCAGAGAGCCCCTTCTCTTGTATCCCACCACCCCTGTGGTTTTCCTTCATGGTGATATCTCATGTCTCTCCCCATTGCTACACCAACTATGTAGCAAGGGAATCATGACCACCATGACCATGGCAGCAGGGGAATCAGCCACCATCCGGCAGGGACTGAGCCAACTTTGAACCAAACTTCAACCCAGGAAAAGATGGAGGCCCCCACTGAGGATTAAGGCAGGCCGCAAGCTCGGGTCTCTCCCTTCCTCACCAGGGAGAGTAACACAAACCGGATTGCAGAGCCCCGGCTCCGTAACAAACTTCTTCGGCGCACAGTGTAGAAAAGCAGCGATGAAGGACAAAGGGAAGGGACCACCGTGGTGGAACGCCCACTGCAAGCAGAGGAACGTTGTGGGGACGTTACGTTGCTGGATAGAGGGAAGCCAGGACAACTCCTCACACCTCCCAGACCCAGAGGGCTGCTCGGAGACCACTGAGCAGGTCAAAGGGCGAGAAAGTTCTGATGCTCGAGCCTTGCTAGAGATGGTCCCATGGAGACACCAAAGAGGTCATCATGGACATAAAGATCCCTGCCCCTGGCCAGCTCCCCTACAGCGAATGATGGGCTCTTGAGGACCATCAAGGGCACCACGTCATCTCCAACGCTCCCTCCCAGCTATAGCCAGAGGTGACCCCTGCCCCCAACTAAGGATGGTGAGGTGGGAACTGCCAAAGGTCCTAAGCAGGTCCTGGCATCTCCATTAGTCCCTCCCAGGCTGACGTGGTCACTGTCCTCTCTCCATTCTTCCCCCGCAGCTCACAGAGGCTGGGAAAGTAGCCACTGATTGGTCAGTTCGGTTCAGCATTGGCTCTGACCCCACTCACCTACCATGGAGAAACCTTCAGGGACGCAGTAGAGAGGAGATCACAATGTCAGAAAGGGGATAGGCACTGGGGGGGATGGAGGGGAAGGGCAGTGAGGAAAGCCTCAGCATGCCCCATCCCAGTCCCCTGCCCCCCACATCGGGGCGTCACAATAATCCAGCCCCTCAACCCCAGTATTAAGTGCACAAACACACACACCGCCCCTCCCCCGAATGCACTCGAATGCCACTCAGAAAACAAAAATACAAGGTCTGAGTCCCACACACACACACACACACACACCCCACCCACCCGCTCCATGATCTTTATGGGTCCAACATGCTCAAGGGTCAATGTCTGGGGAGAGACAGTGCTAACTCCAACTGGGGTCATAGCCCGTCCAGTCAGAAGGGGGCGCCAGGTAGACCCGCCGGCCACGGTAGAGAAAGCTGACGATGCCGCGGTAGCCGGCGCGGGGCACCCCTGACTTGAGATCATCCATAACACCCAGGGCCTTGGCAAAGGCCTTGAAGGAGTCGCGGCTGCTGTATTGCACGCGGACGGTGCCCAGTTCCCGGCGCTGGTTGCCCTGCAGCTCCTCCACCCGCAGCTCAGGGGCGCCGTAGACCTTGGGCAGGAATGAGCGCTCGTACTCCTCCTTCTTGAGGTAGGAGAGGTCCAGCTGGGTGAAAGGCACGAAGCGGTCGTTGAGCTTGATGAACTTCAGGTATTGGTCGAAGAACTGCCCATGGCTCACGCCCTTGCGGCCGAAGGTCATGGTGCGGGAGACCTCGGGCCTAATGCAGGAACGGCTGCGCCGCTGCTCCGGCTGCCTCATCCAGTCATCCCAGAAGGCCCTGGGCCACTTGGGCTCCAGCTCGTCCCACAGCTCTGACAGCAGCAGCCAACCCAGGCCGGGGAAGAAGTCCGTACGGTAGAGCAGCTCCGGCCGGCCAGCCTCCACCATCTGCTCCTTGCCGTTATCATTCCAGGCCGAGACGCACCAGAGGCTGGGGTCGGCCAACAGGAGCGGGAAGGCCGCCTGGAAGTACTCGAAGAAATCTGGAGCCACTTCCAGGTCGTCCTCTACCACAATGGCCGCCTGGTACTGGAAGGTGCGGAAAACCTGGCTCAGGGCCCAGCGGTAGTGCCGGGCGATCTTGTAGTAGCCCTGGAACTTGCGGTGGTCCGTGGGCACCGCGATGTCGCTCAGGTCCGGCTGCTTGATGTGCATCACCGCCTCGCCATAGGATGCGATGACCCGCGCCGTCTCCTCGTGCCCGCAGTCCTGGCTCACAATGATGGGGAAGCGCTCCCGGGACGGCCGGTAGTGCAGCAGCTTGTCAAGGCACCGGCGCACCGTGCTGCGGTCACAGGCGATCACCACCACAGGCAGGACCGCGGCCGGGGAGGCCCGGGGCCGGTGCGGGACGGCCTCCGTGGCGGGCAAAGCCCCAGCGTTGGAGGCGGCAGCGGGCGGCGGGAGCCGACCCGCCTCCTCCACCTTCTTCCTCTTCTTGCTCCAGAGGGCGCTGTACCGGTGGATCTGCCGCAGCAGGTCCTTCTGGTGCTCCAGCTCCAGCTCAGCGTCCTGGGCCAGCCGGATGACCTCCTCGGTCAAGTGGCTATGGTCGTCGAAGGCCGGGGGCCGGGTCCACAGGAAGAAAAGGAGCAGGGCGTTCCAGGCCACAAACAGCACCACGCCCCAGAGGACCAGGCTGCTCTTCTTCAGCATCCTTCACAGGCAGAGGCCCCCCCCGCTCGCGTGCGCTCTCGATCCCTCAGGCGTCACTCCACAGCCATGGACCTGCGGGGGCAGAAAGGGGGACAGGGAGTCAGTGAAGTACAAGGGAATCTTAGCAATGGGTCACCATTACTGCTAGTCAAGCCCCACCTGGGACCCAGGGCTGGATTACTCCCTCTAGACAATCCTCCAGGCCTCCAGCCAGTAAGGACAGAGGAGCAGCTCCAGCAGCTGCCCATCAGGTTCAGAGCCACTTGGGGAGCGTCCTCTACAGCCTCTTCCCAGTGACATGGAGACGCCCCATCAGGGCCCAGCCCCTAGTGACATGGAGACGCCCCATCAGGGCCCAGCCCCTACAGCCTGTTCTCCAGGGCTCCGTCCATTCCTGGTTTTACGAGTCCCCAGCAAAGGGGCCCCCAGCCCACCCCTTGGGGAAACGATTCCCCATCTGGATACTTCCTCCCCTCGGGACTCTTTCACTGACTACTCTATATTGCCCCATTCTTCATGTCACCCCATTCCTCCCAGGGATACCCTTGGGCCCCTCTCTTCCCTCCTTCGGCATCAGCCCCTTCAACTACCTGCACCAAAGATCTTCCCTGCCCCTTGGTTATCCTTTAGCTGAGCTAACTCATGATCGGCTCGGCTGTCTGGAGGGGCAGAGGCCAACGCCCTCCCTGCATGTCCTGACTCCAGGAATTGGTTCTCCTACAGGGCAGGGATGGGGGGCCTTAGGCCAAGCAGCAGAAATGCCCCCTCCCAGATTGGGTGGAGTGGGGGAGTCGCATGGAGGGGAGGGATTGGGAACCCCAGGTGTGAGCAGAAAGGGTAATCCTCCCCCGTGCCTGAGGAGGAGGGTCCATTGGGAGAGGAAGCTGAGTATACTGGCTGATGAAGCCTAACACTGGATAGACACTGGATCGCAGCTCCCCTCTCCTCCCCGCCCAGTGGCTGGTGTGCAGAGATGCCCCGACAGGCCCCTCCCTCCCCCAAGAGCTGCTGCACGAACCTCAGCTCAGACCCCGCTGGTCCCATGGGCGGTAACTGTGCACAGCGCCGGTTTAAGCCCGTAATCCCACCCTTGCTTAGTGGCTGCATCAGGAGCCTCATTAATCCCCCTCAGTGAGAGCCCAGCCCTATATTTAACGCGGCGGCAGGCGTGTGTGTAATCGCACGCAGGGCTCAGCCATGTTCACACCCCCCAGGCTGGTGCAAACCCAAGTGGGGAGGACGCCAGGGACGGCGACCATCGAGTCCCCATCTCAACTCCCTGCTTCAGGGCCATTTTGGCAGCATGTGGCTACACTATTGTTTGGGTACGCAGCCAGCCCTCTCCTCTGGGGTGGGGCGGGGCAGTTGTTTCGCAGACGTGCAGCAGCGCCGCCCGTGGACTGTTCACCCCAGCGCCGAAATGCAGCCACCTCTGGGGTGGGGCAGTCATTTCACAGCTGCCCAGCAACAGGTTGGGACAGGAAGTGAAGGCGAAGCCGGTGGCTCAGAACAAGAGCTGGGAGGAAAACACATTATCCCCGTTACATTTTGCATCTGGAATTAACTCTGGGGCCAGCACTGACTGCGAGGGGACAGCGCCCCAGCATTGCACCGGGGCCAGCACTGACTTGCACCTCCACCCAGCTCCTTGCAGCCCAGTGACCCCCAGTGCCGCATCGGGGTCAGCACCGACGCAGAGGGACCAGCACCATCTGTTGAGCCACATCCGCCCGGGGGGGGGGATTTCCTCAGAGATCTCCCACCCGAACAAGCGCCCCAGCCCAACCCTGCACCGCTTGGCTCCTAGCCTGGGGCGCAAGGGCAAGACACACGAGGATTGTTTGACCAGCCGAGCTCACTGATCAATATTGACTTGGGATGGCGGTTGGGAGCCCGGAAAGTCAGGCCGCTGTGATCTGGGGCCAGTTGGAAGGAGGGCCCCTGGGGGCTGGGGAGGAAGAACCGGGGTGTCCATCTGTCTCTGCTCGACAGGACTCTGACAGAGATTCACACCACTGCTGCTTAAGCCTGTCCATCATTTGGATTCACTGGAGCACACACCTTGGGGAGGGGTGGACCAGGCCGGCTGGTGTCCATGCTGAGCCCCACAGAATCCCAGTGGTGTAACGGATTGGGGGCTGAGGCATGGGGTGAGGTCAGCTGGGTACATTTCAGGGGGGAGGGAGGGGAAGAAACCATGACGCAGAGGTTGAAGAACAGAAAATCCCAGGCTCCACCCAGTCCTGGTTTGAAGCATCTCCAGCACTGGGGTCTGATCTAGCACAGGACGGGGTGCGTGGAGAAGACACTAGGATAGATGGGCTCCACTGAGGATTTCAGTGGGGCAAGAGAGCCCATAGGCCCCACTGATGATTTCAGTGGGGGCAAGAGGGCCCACTGGTCTGATGGGCGGCGCAATCCCACACTAGAGGCCCGCTCCAGCACATCGGATGTCCCTGCGTCCCTCTCAGACAAGCTAACCGTTGTTCTAAAGCAACGTCTGGGCTCAGAGACGCAAGCTGGAGCAGCAAGTTGCATTTTTTCCACCTGGCTCGCCAGGGCACAGAGGATTGAGCCGGCGGGTTTGGGAGCTGCTGACAGCGCAGAGAAAAGGCTCTTTCTAAACTCTCCAGGATCTTTCAGACAGCCCAGCAGCTTGGGCTCCTTCCCTGGACGGTTAAGTCCAGGGAGTTGCAGGGCAGTAAAGGAAGTGGGGAAAGCAGATCCATGGAAGGGCGAGAAAACCAGCCTCCCCTTACTCTGCATGCTACTGCTCCCAGTGTGTCTCACAAACAGAGCTGATGAGTTTTGGGACAGCCCAAAACTTCTCCTCCCATTAGCCCAGCACAGGTGCGGGAAAGAGCGAGCGGGGTGCTATTCTGGCTCCTAGCTAGCAGTGGGGAACGGAGGGCTAAACTCCACCCCCAGGGAATGCAGGAGGCAGAAGCAGAAGGGGGACTAAGTCCTTGTACATTGGGCCATTCGGTTGTTAAACAGCCCAACTACGCACTCAGCCTCTCCACAGGTGGAGGGGACTGGATTATCCAGGCCAAGCGGCCCACAGTGACAAGCTGTGGAGACAGGGAGCATGGGCCAGGCTAGGGACAGCAGCACAGCGCCCCCTAGTGCGGGCCCAGAGGGTGATGGAGTGCATCCCAGGTTAGGCACAGCGCCCCCTAGTGCCAGAATGAGGGAGGTACTCGGCCCCAAGGAGAGTGGACAGCACAGCACTCCCTATGGCCTGGCTAAGGGGATGGATCATGTTCCAGGTTAGGCAGAATAGCTCCCCACCCCACTCCAGAGGCAACACAGCACCCTCTATGGCCAGGCTGAGGAGGAATGGCCCCTCTAAAGCCAGAGCGAGAGGGGACACAGAGCTCGGTTAGGGTGGGCATCTCAGAGCCCCACCTCTTCCCCCGGGTTGCTAAGGAAAAAACCAGGGCAGCTCCCCCACTGCAGCAGCACAGTGCCCCCTCTGGTTAGGCTGTGGGGCAAAGGAGCCTGCTATGCAAGGCTGGCCCCAGGCCTTGTCACCCAACCCCAGTCCTGGTTAATTGCTTTGCGGGGCTGAGGCTCATTTGTTAAAGAGCTAAAAAGTCACGTCAGGAATTTGGCAACAAATGGAAAAACCTCAACAGAACGGCTTGGGGATTGGGTTAGGAGCAGAGCCAGGGGAAGGAAGAGCTATGCATTGTGGGTACCCGGCCTGACTTCTGGGTCACTCCCACAGTGATTTCACAACCTCAAGAGGCAGCGATGGGCCTCGCGGCCAAGGCCCTGCTTGGCTTAACCTTTTAACCACTTCTCTGGCCACAGGAGACATCCCACTGGCAGCTCCGCACGAGGCTGAGCCCATCCCATTCTGCCACCCCCCCATGCCAACACCGGCGCAGCCAGAGATCCTGCCTGTCTGCAGCCAGTCCCATCTACTCCAGCCACCTACCACTCGGTTTACGTTTGAGAGCTGGGACGTAGGTAGCTCGTGGTCAACACAGGGTCCGCTCTCCACCAGGGCAAAGGGAGAGGTAACGGGAGCTCAGAGAAGTCCTCTCCAGCCACCCAGCAGCAGCAGATCCCCTGCCCGGTAGGTCCAATCTCCTCTACTTCTTGTGACCTCTCACCCAGCTCACCACAATCAAATGCTTACCTGGCTAGGGAAGCCAGTTTCAAAGCACTTATCAAGAGGTGCCATAGACCAGAGGCAATAGGTTGAAAAGACGGCTGATATGCAGATGGGCTGGGTTGGCTGTCTCTTTCTCCTCCTCCTCCGCCCCACAGTCCAGCTCCCGCCCTCTCTTTCAGTGCAGGCCTCTTGTGTGAAGAGCCCTGCCAGCCATCTCAGAGCACGCCAGCTTTTACAAGCCACAGAGAGGAATCAGATCAGTTGCCCACTGAAATGCAGCTGCCCCTGGGGAGGAACACAGCCGCAACAGGACACCATTCTCTAGCTTAGGACATTAGGGGAAGGGAAAACAGCAGAGTGGTGGGCTGCAAGGGGGCACAGTTTCAGAATCAAGGAACACCTCCCCCCAGTGGGGATTTGGCCAGGCCTCTGGGATTTAGGCCCCGACTCCGGAGGAAAGCACCAGGGGATATGTGGCAATCCTGGAAGGTTGGAGTCTCAGTTCTCAGCGTCAGCAGAAGCCAAGGTGTTTGAGAGGGGCAGCCCCAGGACAGGAAAATCTCATTGGTTTTCTTGTGGGTTCTCTCACTTCCCCTCCAGCTGCCTCCATTGTTCAACAAAAGCCACATCTGGGTGTCCCCCAGGCTGGAGGGAGTAAAGCCAGAGAGCAGCAGCCAATCCTGCTATTCCCCGTCTTCACTAATGCCAAAAGCCCTCCCTAAATTCCCTCCCCATTCATCTCATAATCCCAGAAACCTTCCCCTCCTGTTACCAACTTCCAACCCCTTACCCTTCCAGGACCCGGACCCTGCTCACGGTGGGCAAGAGCAAGCACTGGGTCAGCAGACATAACCCGGAGCCAGGGTGAATGGAGGAAAACAAGGAGGGGGTCTCAGCACAGGGATGGGTGTGTCTCTGGCATCATCTCCTCCCCACCCAGCACTCAAAGGGTTAAGGGGGTAATGCATCTTCAAGGGCGGGCTGCCAACGCTGGCAGCCCAGACCGCCTTCTCACGCCCTGATGGGAAGGGCTTGTTGAAATGAAAGCCACATTGACTAACTAGCCCTGGGTCAAAACACATATTCCCCCTTTGCAGTTTATGCAAATCAAGTACAGGAAAGGGAGTGGGTGGTTAAGGCAAAACAGGCAACCTTGCAGGGGCCGGGCTTTGCCATGAGGCCTCTGAGACAGCTGGCGGTCATGATCTCCTGCTGTCTGGATCCAGCGGGTGTCTCTTCTTACCCTTAGACTGTCGGCTGTTTGAGGCAGGGGCTGCCCTTCTGTTCTGTCTGTACAGCGCCTGTAGAGCACAACAGGGGCCTGGGCTCTTAGACAATACTTATTAATAACCGGTGTGTTGTGGCAGGGCGTGGAGATGCCCACAGAGCTCGGGGCTCGTTTGTACTAGGGGCTGTGCGTACAGAGCAAGACGGTCCCTGCCCCAAGAAACAAAGGAAGGATTATCTCCTCATTTTACAGATAGGAAAACCGAGGCACGGTGACTTGTCCACGGTCACATGGGGAGCTTGTGGCAGAGCTGGGAACTGCACCCAGGCCGGTTTCTTGACAACTCCTGGGACGATCCTGTGGTTGCCTGGCTCCCTTCTGGAGCATTCCCCCTTGTCCGACACCCCAGATTCCTCAAATCCTCCAGATCTACGGGGTTCAACCTCCCACCCCATACTAGGCCAGGCTACTGACAAGGAACTTCCCCACAAGACAGAGCAACCCCCACATCCATGCTGGGATAAGGACAGAGTTTGCCCACCCAGCTTGTAACAAATTTTAAGCAGCAAGAACAGAGCTTCAAACTAGATCGGAAACCAGCCCCACCCAGAAACCAACTCCCCTGGAAACCAGCCCCCAAGCGAGATCAGAAACCTGATGAGCTGGGGAAAAGCCAGAGGAACTACAGAGACTCCGGCCTTTTGGGGGATTTTGCATTGGCGCTGCTTCCTCCAGCATTAACCCTGATAAGGATCCCTCTTCTTCCTCGACCAGAAGGGTCCATTCCGATCATCTCATCTGACTTCCCGCATAACACAAATTTCACCCAGGGATTGACACCCCTCAAACACTAGTGGATTCAGATAATACCTCCCCACTGCTTTAGCTTCCCCAGCCACTCAGTACAAAACAGCCACATCTAACCCGGCAGCAACCGACTCAAGAATATAACACTGCCCGTATGTGCTGCAGCCTTGGGACTCAGAACAGCTACCGTGGTGGGCGTCGTACAGAACCAGGCAGACTCAGGAATGCTGTTTGAACAGCGCGCCACAACATAACACAAAACCACGGATCCACCAGGATCCACCATATTGTCACCGGGGCCTCCAGACACAGCTGCCTTGCTGGGCTGCTTTCCAGAGACTAGAAACATTTTCCTCACACTGTCCAACCCTCCTGGGATGGGAAGGAAACACTGGCCAAGAAGACAGGAGGGAAAACGAACACTAAATATTCCTTCTTCCTGGAAAGCATATTGGAGATATAATAATTCTGTCCCACACCCTCCCACCTTCTTTATTTAGACTGAAAAGTCCCCAGGGCAGGGACTGTCTCTGCGTGTGTGGGCAGTGCCTGGCACAATGGGGCCCTGATCTCAGCTGGGGCTCTAGGGAACATTGTAATATAGTCAATAAGTACCACCCTAGACATGATCACAATCACACAGAAGCAGCCGTGGTCTCACCCACCTGATCACAGATTACGTACAGCTTTTAGAAGATCATGAGTGCTTTAGATCCCTCTAAAAAGTTTCTTTGTTCCCCTTCCCTGGAAAGGGCAAAAGTTTTAGCCATAAAAAGTTCCCCTCCTTCCAGAGTAGCCGGTATCTTGCCATCACCGCAAGCTCTCGGACAGGGGTTCTGCTTTCTCCCACACCCCTTGTCTCTCTGGATAACAAGGCAGGTGGGTTTCTGGATTCCAGATGCTGTGTCCATTTCACACTCACCCCCTCTCTGTCCTCAGCTGAATGTCAGATCTGGCTTCAAGGCTGCAGCTCAGGAGACAGTCTCCCCTCTGTCTGTGCACATGTCCAGCTCGAGGACCCCACTTGTTATAGACTCTGGCTCTGTCCCCTCTCTAGCTAGCCCCCACCTCTTGCCTCTCTCTGTACCAGTCGCTGTTCAACAAGGCAAGCGACCCAAGTCCAGCATTATGAACTCACCTCTCTAATCGCTTCTCTCTCTCTCTGCTGATATCTGATTTCCAGCTGCAGTGGGGGGCGGGATGGGGGGAGAAACAGCAGACAGATCCGCTCTGGGCAATGGTACAGAGCAGAGGGGACAGCAACATACCGAGCCGTGTCCTGTTGAAGTTTTAACGCACGGCAGTTTCGGCACAGTTCTCGCTGGCTCAGCTGGTTTCACTCCCCTCAGCAGTACCAGGAAACGTGGCCCTCCCATGTAGGCTAGGAGAGGAGGAAGGAAAGCAGGGTCAGAGGTTGCTATGGGGCGGCCCTCTCCATCAGGAAGTCAGCCTCCCTTCACACCCCCTCCCCCCCCAAGTCTGAAAGGGAAGGAGAGTTTAACCCTCACACACCCAGACCTGGGAGAAAGGTGAACAGGAGAATCAAAGGCTTACAGGATCTTTGTGCAGCGGGGACAGGAAGAGAGAGGTGAAGGGGGCCGGATCCTGATCTCTGTTGTTGCCCCTGGGTAAATCAGGAGCGACCCCACTTCCATCAATGGAGTCCAGGCCGGATCCTGCTTTCAGTGACCCCAGCCTGACTAGAGAGCAGCAGGGGAACTCCACATTTACACAGCAGGGTAACAAAGCAGAATCTGGCCCAGAGCCTAGCGGGGACAGGGTGAGAAATTGGAGAGTGGGTCACAGGCCAAGGATCAAACTTTGTTGATGAAGCTTTGGGAGCCGGCCCTTTCCTGCAGCTGATTAGCCTGAACACCAGACAGCCCCACTGAGTTAATCTCTAATGCCACGTTTGCTTATAGAGGAGAGTTAACCGTTAACTGTTCCCTCGGCAGCTGCTCCCTTGGAAACAGAGATGGGGGGGGGTTCAGGAGGTAAACGGAGCCAATCAAATCTGACCCCAGGTTGGGGGACGGGGGGGGAAACGGGGTCTTTCTCCTCTAGGGGGCACCAGCTCTGAACCAAGTCCAGGGCGAAGGACTGGCTCAATGGGGGTTGCGGAAGGGGACCTTTCCCCTTTTGTGGGAGCCAGCCCCAGCTTGGAGGGCAAATGGCTGGCTCAAGGTGGTGGTGGTGGGGGGGGGGTGTCAGGAAATGGGCCTTACAAGAAATTAAACAGAATATTCCCCCCCCCCCCCCCCAGCCTTTGAAAGCAGCCAGGAATTCAAGCTGCTGTGTCCTCACCTCACCCACCCCAGGAGTCTGGAGGAATTACAGCGCAGGGTTCAGACACCAGCCAGGGATCTCAGCAGCCATTTGTGCAGTGCCCACAACCCCAGGCTTTCCCAGGCCAAGACGGATGCCCTCCCATCACAGCACAAGGGAAAAAGCCAAGAGGAGACAGTTACAGTCACAAAAGTGGGGGGATAGACAGAGGGAAGAGATCTGCATCAGCACCCTTCTTGATCTCACACACACATGCTCCCTGTAGGAAATTGGAGGTGTATCTGCCCCATTTTTTATAGCTGTTCCACCTCAGAGTGGAGATTTCAAGCAAACAGGACCAGGCCAGGTCAGCATTTGGACAGGAGATCTCCAGGGAGATCTAGGGGCTGCAGAGGGCACCTAGAGAGGTGGTGGTGGTGGTGTGGGGGGGGGGGGGGGGTCTCAGTAGGGACCGCCCCTCCCCTCTTGGACAGCGCCATCCACAGTGACCCAGTGTGGTGCAGCGAGGGGGCTCTCTCTTTTCACATGAGGTGGTGCAAACAGGCCCTGATCACTTGTGATCGTTCGCCAACAGCACCCAACAATTAAGCGGTTTCCTCCAGCACCCCAGCTGAATCTCAACTCTGGCTGCCTCTCGAAAGCTCCCCTCGCTGGTTCACCTGGGGATTTCACTTCCTGTCCTCTTGGCTTGCTCACGGGTGGCTACACAGCAGCACCTGCTACGCCAGTGATTCTCAAACTTTTGTACTGGTGACCCCTTTCACATAGCAAGCCTCTGAGCGTGACCCCCCTTATGAATTAAAAACACTTTTTTATATATTTAACACCATTATAAAGCTCAAGGCAAAGCGGGGGTTGGGATGGAAGTTGACAGCTCGCAATCCCCCAGTAATAACCTCATGACCGCCTAAGGGGGTTGAACCCCTATGCTACACCTAGTCCAGAGGTGGCTGCGTTTCAGTGCAGAGGGAGCAATCCCTGTGCCATCTTGCTGTGTGGTTGCTATGGTCTGGTGTGGGGCATTTGAATGCTACAGGAGCAGGGTGAAAAAGGGAAACTGGGGAGAGACACAAGCCCTTACCGTTTGGATCAGCAGGCCTGATCCCGCCAACACAGCGGATGAAAAAGCAAGCCGGATTCCACTCTGCCCTAAGCATCGGCATCAGGACTGGCTCAAGACACGAATGAAGCGGTACAGTCACCCCCACACCCGCCATGTGGGTCGCCATCTCTCTCCTCCACTGGAGCTCTCGCAGGGTTTATGCCACAGCTCTTCGCTTCCCAGCATGCACCCGTGAAGAGAGGGATGCGTGAAACGAGCTGGAGGTTCTCAGCCCAATTCCTCCCTGGAACCGGGTTCCGCTCACAGCCACGAGCTCCCGGGTTGGGGTAACCCTGGCAGGCAGAGCCGGACTCTCTACCCCCTCTTCTGGCCGGCCCACATAGAGGTTTAGGACGCTGCTGTTGCTTCCATGCTCGGGCAGCAGAGGTTCACGCTTTCAGGGTCTTTCTTCACTGCAATTAGCCCAGGCTCCTACCCAGGAGCTGCCCCATCCCCCCTCCCAAAACCTTCTCAGCTGAACTTGGTGGTGCTAACGGGGCCCGGCTGGGGGTGTGGGTTAGTGCTTAGGATCCATTTCCACTCAGCCTGCTGACTTTGCAGTGAGGACACAGGCTAAACCATTCGAGTGCTGATAGTCTTCCAATGCTTTCCCACAATTCCCCTGTGCGCCCAGAAGAGCGGACAAGCACTCCCACAATTCATGGGGAAGGAATCAGAGCGGTAACTCGGATAGGGCTTTGTTGGGGGGCTGCTCACATCCGGTTATTGACCCCCTGAATTACCTCTGCAGTGAACACGGACCCTTAGATACACAGGACTGGTTCGACCCCCACCCGTAGCTTGCTGGCAGCCTCGGCAGCCTCTATCCCTTGGCCTTCCTGACCGCCCTTATCCACCTCCAGTGGGGGGCACCTATAGGGCAAACCCCATTGGGATGGTGGTTTGTGCATGGGGAGCTAGCCCACTGCGGGGAGGGCTCAGAGCCCTGCTGTCTACTGATCTAGTTCACTTACAAAGGTAGATCAGAGCCAGACGCAAACACAGGGAGACGTGAGGAACAGCCTGTCCTCCCTTCCTCTGCTGCCTGCTCTCTAATGGGAAACAGCTGGCAGCCATCACAGAGCAGTAGAGGGTGGGAGGGGGTTCTCTGTGAAGGGGGGAGGGGTGCAGGGGGTGCACAGAAGGCAAACAGGAAACCAGCCAGCACAGCAGGTCCCAGGATAAGGGGAAGGCGTCTCCTGTGCACCAATCAAGTCAGCAACCCAAAGGGACGGGGCGGGGAAGGGAAAGACATTGCAAGGGTCAGCAATAACATTCAGGGTGCTAAGTGCATGGGGTCAGGTCACTAAGGGTTAAAACCAAGGCCAGTTGCTCCTGCATCTCCCCCAGCCCCCACAATAACTTAGCAACCCATCCAGCCCACTTCCATGCTGATCCCCCACCCTCAGCCCCCCACTTCCAGCATAGGAGAGGCCGGTTAGGGGATCAGCACCCCTGGGATCTGCTGCCAGCTCTGGGAGGGGAGTTTAGCGGTCAGAGCAGGACCCAGTTCTAGTCCCAGTTCTGGAAAGGGAGTTGGGTCTAGTGGTTAGAGCAGAGGGCTGGGAGTCAGGCCACCCAGGCTGTATTTGTGGCTCTGCCATTCATCCACTGGAATCCTGGACCGGTCACTTCTCAAATCTGTGCCTCCATTTCCCCATCTAATAAAATCATTAAGTACTCCTGGAGGAAGGGGGGTGGTGACACTCAAGAACACAGATGACCAAAAGCTGGGCAGGAGTTGCCCAGCCCAGCATCTCCAATTAAGTTAAGGGGAAGCCTCAACAGCTGGCATAAGGTAGTAACGCCCCAGTGGTTGACAGTGACAGACACAGGGTCCCCACAGGAGGGATGGGATGTCACTGCGCCCCAGCCCTGCACACATGGCAGGCTGGAGGCCTGAACTTCTGCCAGCCTCTCCTCTCTGTTACACTCGTCTGAATCTAGGTCAGTCCCTAATGAGAATAATCTTCTGGGCAAAACAAACACAATCAGGAGCCCAACCTCTGATCTTACACCAGGGTAGGGCTAATCCTGGTGGAGGGCAGTGAAAACAACTCCACTCACACACACTTCAAGCATGCAGATGGCCCTGATCGGTTCCAGCTGGGTCCTGCCTATTGCCAAACTGACAGCCAATACTCACAGAGAGAAGGGGAAAAATCGTGGGGATTGGCTAACTCAGGGAACGGGATGGGGCATTGCCCCTCTGAGGTCCCAGCTCCAATCCTGGCCCCAGGGTTGGCTCAGGGAGGCAGGGATGGATGGACAGGGGAGACGTTGGCTCTGATCCAGCCCCAAGGCAGGGGGAACGGCTGACTCAAGCAGGTGGGGCCTGGGACATGGGACCCTTCTCCACTAGGGGGCACTAGCTGTGATACAATCCCAAACCAAGGCAGGGTAGGACTGGCTGGCTCAGAGGTCCTCCCCCTAGGCCGCGCCGGTTCCAATCTCACTACAGAGCAGCCATGCTGATCCCCCACCCTCAGCCCCCCCCTTCCAGCATAGGAGAGGCCGGTTAGGGGATCAGCACCCCTGGGATCTGCTGCCAGCTCTGGGAGGGGAGTTTAGCGGTCAGAGTAGCGGTAGTCATTTTCATCCAGTCTACCCTGCGTGAAGTGAATTGGTGGGTCTCAATCAAATTCAGAGCAGACAGGAGTCCGTCATATACAAAATGGGGAGAGGTGGTCAGGGGCAAATGGCTTATGGAGACTGAACACCCTCATCTGCCTCTAAAAGGGCACTGGGCTCTGGCACATTGGCAGGGGCAACGCTCAGAGAGGCCAGCGCAATCCAGGGAGAGAAATCTCTTCCGTGGCTGCCCAGGGGAACCCGATAACTAAGCGCCTTCCACACCACCCGCTGTCTTTCTTCCTGAGGAGCCCAGAGACAGAGATACACCCTCAGCCCAGGACAGTGGGGAGAGAAGGGATCCAGCGGCAAAAGCATCTCCCAAGAGGCTGGTAGATCCTATCTTCTGACCAGTGTATGTGAGAGGCTGGAATCCCCCTCACGCACCCTTGGGACCTTGCCACAGAAGACCATATTACAACCTAACCAGGCATACATCTGGGTTTGGCAAGGAATTGTCTGGCTCTGTACTGGTGCATTCTGGAAAAATCTAGTCAGCTAGCCCACGGTGCTTCAGCCCCGCATGGAGTGATGCATTCTTGGATGTGCTACAGAGTGCAGAGGAAGGAGAACCAGCCTACCTGGTTATACCAGTAGCATCGGGGTGTGAACTGGTCTACACACCCAAGATAGACAGGTGCCAGCCTATGCCAAGATTCCTGCAAGGGCTGCTAACCAAGGATCAGCCACATGGCATGCAGACAAAAGCACTTCCAGAGCTGATTATGTCACTAACCAGTTACAGACAAGAGAAGAGATGCGGGTGAGTTTGCCATCAGCTCAGCCCCCCCAATCTCAGGAGACGGGGAAGGGCAGCTGCTATCTGGCCCTTAGTGATGATTGCTCTGTCTGATTACACAGTACTATCAGACATAATAAGCACCTATCACACTTTTCATCCCTTGATCTCAAAGCACTTTACCAAGGCAGGCACGTTGCACTACCATGCATAGTATGGAGGGGGAAACTGAGGCAAAGGATTCAGTGACTTGGCCAAGGTCACATAGGGAGACTGACAGGTTTAGGAACATATGCCAAACCCTGACTCCTGCCCCTCACACTAGCCACTAGACCCCACTCCCCTCCCAGAACCCAGGAGTCCTGACTCCCAGTCCCCACTGCTCTAACACACTAGCTTCTCTCACCCACGCCACCTCTGAAATGCAGCCATCTCTAGTTTAGAGAGCAGCACCATCACTGGGTTGGGGGCTGAGAACATCTCCAATTCTGGAGAATCCCAGCCTTGGGCTCTCCCACACACAACTCTACTGATACCCCTCAATCCTGATTGCAGCTCCCTGCTATCCCAGCCGTTGGCTGCCCTCCCCCCAGCTCTGCCACAAAAAACGAGTTTCCACTAGAACTGCACATACGACCAGGAACTGCAGACTGGCCGTGTAGCTCACATCAACCCTGCTCTGCGTCCCCATCCATGTCAAGATCCAGTTCAGATTCATCCCCTCGAGTACAGCACCACCATGGATTTGTAGTACTGGAGAGGATAGCCCAGCGCTGGAATAGTGGGGTGGCTGAGAGTCAGGATTGAGAGGCCTCAGTAGAGCTGTGTGTGTGAGGGAGCCAGAGCTAGACCACCAGTGGGGGCGGGGAGGAGAGTACCAGCAGATCTAGTCTCTTTACTCCCTTCTGCTAGCATCCATCCCCTCCTTGCCCTTTCCCACAATTGCCCCCCTGAGGACACAAGAACCTTCCCCTCTACAGTTCCCATCATCTGGGAGAGCCTCCCCCCCACCTCACTGCCTCCATTTATTATCCAACCTCGGCTGAAAGCGTCTCCCTTTTAAATAACAGATGGAGGGACATGAACTCACTCCAGCCTTTTGAGATAATAATTTAAGCTAATTGCCCTTGCTGTGGTCGTGATATGCTAAGTGTGTTTCGTATCTAGCTGCCAAAGTGTTCAGAGAGCACAAGAAATATCCCAGTCGAGAACTATCGAGTCCATTAGACTGAACATCGTAAAAGCGCCTGTGTGGTTAAGCCTGTGGGCTGGGACTCCAGAGACCCGAGTTCAATTCTCAGTTCTGCCACTGACTCTCGGGGCTTGGGCAAAGCCCTGCATCTTGCCAAGCCTCAGTTTCCCCAATAAGCCTCCTGAGCGCTCAAGCTCTGTGTATGTGCAGAACCCAGAACGATGGGCCCTCCAGGCACTACCCTACTAGAAATAAACCAACTTGTGTTTATGTAGGACCCATCATCCTAAAGGACAGAGCTGGCTCAGCAGCTACATCAGGCTCAGCAGCAAGAGAACCCAAAGCACTGTAACTGATACACAAAACATTTCACCCAGTGCTGAACTGCAGCCACCTCTGGGGTGTGGCATGGCAGCTGTTTAACAGCTCACAACACCACAAACAATAATTGTTAGTAGTAGTAATTTCTATTACCATAGTATCTAGGAGCCTCAGTCATGGATCAGGACCCCAGCGTGCTAGGGGCTGTACAAACTCAGAACAAAAATACAGGAAGTAAAAAGAATCCTATAATTGGTTGAAACTGTGGAGAGGCTGGATTTTCAGGGAGGCACAAAAGAATCACCTGAATTACAAACAGTCTAGACCTGCCCCTTCTTTAAAATGAAATTCAACCAACTTGTTTTTCCTTCACAGGTTAACTTTATGCTGTCTGATCTGTCCACCTCCTTTTGCAAGACACCTTAGGTAGCTGCCTTGGTATGTCTACACTGCAATCGCAGTGCACTTAGACGTACTTGGGCTCACTTCAGTTTAGCTACACTCAGGTTCCAGAGCTGTAAAGCATCGGCAACACTGACTATACAAGCCTATCTGGAACCTGGGTAATCACTTGTGAGGTTAGCTCATGCTACTGCAGCTAGATCACTCCGGGACCTGAACTACCTTAGATCAAGGCTTGCTCAATGGCTCAAGCCCTATGACTGCAGTGTGGACAAACCCTTACTAACGTGCTGGGAACACTACTGCTCATGTCAGTGTCAACACTGAAGAAATGCGTTGATGTAAATAAAAACAGGTCCCTGATAGGGTCCAAAACACACGGTATCAGGGCACAGCAACTTCATTTTCAGTTGCTCTGAGCACCTTCGGGCCCTGTTAAAGCTTGGGGCCCCAGAGCCAGATAGAGAGGGGACGCGGGGCAGGGATTGAGCACAGGATAGAGATGAGCCCAAGAGCAAAGGCAATATCTAGGTGCTGGCTATCGAGCACTGCACAGAAAAGTCCTGTCACTCTCTCGCTGAAGATGGGTTGCATTCACGTTTGCATTCCAGAACAAACAAAAAAACATGTCTTGGCTTTTTTCTGGTATTGGGAAGAGATAGGAATGTGTATACCAGTGTCCTATCAGCTGTAAAACACCCATCAGCCCCCAGCCTGTCTGCCAACGATCATTGTCTCAGAACAGAGAACACCAAAAGGATGGTGAGCAGGACAAGTACCAGAGCTCTGGAGCCCACAACCACCGCTCATTACAAACACTCCAGCAGGGGCAAATTCAATCCAGCCCTATGTCGCTGAGTGGCTGGCTCAGAGAATGGGATTACAGGGATTTTTTACTTCTAAGAGATCCCAGGTCGAAGAGGATTGGAAGGCTCAGGGAATGGGATATGGGGCCTTCTGAACTTGGGCAAGTCACTTCCCAGCATCCAACCCCCCTCTATCACCTCAATGGGACCATCACTAAGGGAACAGAAGCATCTGTTCCAC